TTAACCCTGTCACATAATGATATTCCTAAATGAGACGGTAACCAGTATAGTTGAATACCCTGTTCTGATAGTTCAGAAATTTGGTGAAGGATATTTTTAGTTACCATGTTTCCTGAGTTAAATGCAATGAGCCTATGAAGAGCGCCTTGGTTGTCAGTAAAGACAGCTAGGTGTCGCCATGATTCACAAGTGTACAAGGATATTGATGAGACAAGAATACGCAAGAGTCTGATTTTTTATGCTAGGTTTCTGTCATGTCAGAAGGTTTTCAGTTTTGTCACTGCTGCTGATGTCTGCGCGATTTTGGCCAGAATTTCTTGTTTGGATCCATCATCTGAGGTGATGGCACCAAGATATTTGAAACTGCCAACACTTCCGGTTTCTGACCCTCCACTTCGGTTTTCCGTGGCACTAATATTCAATTTCGTTTTTGTAGCTTAATTTAAGGGAGCACCTGCGTGTGGATAATGGGAGACTATCAAGAGAAGAGTCCTCACACTATTGATGAGGAATGAGGCTACCCTTTCTGGATGCTGCCTTTGATCTTGCTGGTTTCCTAATGGGTGTCACGAAGTATATCGATTCTGCCCTGACATAAAATCTTTCCTCCCGTTTTCAAGTTATCTCATTGATCTTTTTAATATAAAACACAAGATCCCTAGTTTTATTTCCCAAGTATCGTATCTGACTTACTGTAGATCGTATGAGCCTTCTATAGTGTTTTATCCCAGGGTCTTTGTGCACGTCTACCTCTGGAGGATAAAAATCCGTGCTTGACAGGGGTTTTAGGATGAAGTTGAGTAATGATATTGCTTGCTGACAGAGAGTTTCATTAAAGTGATTCAGGCTGGTAGGAGTAAAGTCTTCATACCAGCAGACAATTCTTTCAATGATTCCATGATATTTAGTAGCAAGGTGATATCGAAGGCGTGGCTGGGGTGGGGTTCTTGTGCAAAAAGTATTATACTTTATGCCCAGTGATCACTAACTAAGAATAGGATGACTTTCGCAGTGTTTGGTAGGGTGTACTGATTGTATAAAGCTATAT